TGTATAAGAGACAGCTGTTAGGAGTGATGGCGGGGGGCGTGGGATACCGGGGCGGGCAGGAGAGCGACTGGGTGTCTCGTCTAGGAGAGGACCCCGTGGCCTTCAACATGGGAGACGAAAAGGAAGGGGGTTAAAGGAAAGAGAGCGCCAAGGACCCGGACGTGTGGTACAACAAGATCGAGGACGGGGCGGCATGGTTCATGAGGAAATACCATGCCCTGGCGCGTAGTGCCTGGTGCTGGTACGTTACCCTTTGATTTGTTTTTTAGGCGGGTGTGGGAAGCGTCCTCCTTTATCTTTGTTTTTGTTTTATTTTGATCGGTTTCCGAGGGCTCTTTTCTCGAACGGTCGGTGCGATACCTGTTCTTTTCTTTCTATCATTTTGTTTTCTTGTTCCAAGTGGTTTGTACCCTATTTTTTTTTTTTCCCGCGGCGTTGTATGTGCCGGGTTTTGAGACCACGGGCTCCCCATTTTTTGTGGACTATAGAGCTAATGTGAGAAACAACAACATCATCATTGATTGACATCAATACATGGTAGCTTGTACGAGTCTTGGAGAGACAAAATCCGTACGGTGTTGTTTTCAACACGTGTGTATTCCACACGGCACTGTCAGCTGTCTTCGGATAGTGAGGGAGAGATTATATTTTCGAAGAGCTATATCTGGATCCAATGATTCATCCATCCCTGCTCCACTACAAGAAACATGCAAACATGCATGTGCGCCAAAACCCAACTTCAACAAGCTGAGCTTTCGGCGAAGAAAAAGGGGGGCTATGTGGAGGCCAGGATATGGAGATAAAGGGACCACAGATACACGTACATAAAGAGTAGGATCTGAGGGTATATGTGATAATAGATTACTCTTCTCCGAGGGTCCCCAACTCTTATGACCCCCAACGGCTGCGAAGAGTTGATGGATCTTTAGGAGAATGGGAAAAGGCGTCCACGAAGGCTCGCCCACTCTCCGCACCACCCTAGCCTGACTGAGTTCGCTCGGTCACGCTTGGCATTCCTCGCCTCATTGCACCAAAGGAAATAGCCAACCTCCAGTGGCAGGACATAGCCACCACGACCCCGGACTCCCCGCTCACCCAGAGTAGAGGATATCCATAGATAGGTCGATACGCCTCAGTAGCAAATGAGGTGGTGATCATGATAACAAACGCGGGTTTAAGGTTTTATAATTATTGTCTCGCCTGAGATAATTCTACGTGGCATTTCACCGAGGGTTCCTGGTTCAGACTCTTCCCCGAAATCTATTTCTGGGAGGACTCTCACAAGTGGGTGGGGATCAAAGTATGAGAAGTGGTAATCCCTAGCAATGGAACGTGCATGGCTTGTGTTGATTGGATTCGGAATCAATTGTGTTTGTTGCCTGGAACACATTCAATGTTCTTCTGAGAATTGTTGGCGGGTAATCGCATGATCGCCGTCTCGTCCCACTCCGCCTTCTCAGTGCCCAACCTCTCACCTTCCTCGCCCATTCCCAGCTGAGCAACGAGGGCCAGCGCAGAAATCCGTAGCCTATACATCTGTGCTGCTGGGCAGCGCGGTCGGTGGTGCCTGCCTGTGCTATTGCTATGTAGCAGGTGGCCGTGACCCTGAGGCGACGCTGCGGGCTGCGGCCCCTGGGAGGGAGCGTGCGACCGACTTATGCGGCGCAATTGGAAGCTCCGCAGACAAGCACGGGGGGTTTCATGACACCCTGGGAAGGCGGTGTGAAGAAAAGCGCGCGCAGCAAATCCACAGATTTCAAATTTGCTGCCTCGCCGAAACACACAGCACACAATCTTTTCTACCTTCCACAGCGCGACCACTCCACGACAACACTGGAGGTGCGCTTCATCGCAAACAGGAATCCGTCGCCCTTACTGTGAGTTATAGGGGTACTTAATAGCTTGGTCCACTGCGCACTGGCCTTGTAGCGGAGAGCCCGTTTGTTGGCTGCTCGGCGTGCCATTTTCAAAACGGCGCGGTTTGCAGCCGTTGCTTTGTGCGGGCGCTTGAACTCCTGCCCTCTTCTGTAGAGAGGAGTGCCTTCGTCTCATCCCGCACAGAACGGAACTACCTCAGTGTGTGGGCTTCCTCGCACCATTCTCTGCGGTTGGTGGGATAATCAGTATGCGCAGGGGGTGCTGCTTGCGAGCATTCCTCTCGTGCGGCCGCTTTTTGAAAAGCAGCAGCAGAGCAGCAGCGGTTAACTCCACAAGCACAGCCTGCCAGAGGTGTGTCATCTCTTCTCTCATGGGTTGCCAGCTATGTAGCTTTTGCTCTGCAACAGCGCCGCAGCTGTGCTCAAACTCTGGCAAAAGTGCAGAGCTTGGCGACGCGCTGCAATATTCAGCTGTCGTGCCTGCAGCAGCTGCTGACCCCCGGCTAGGCGTTGCCGCACTCACTAGTCATCACGGGACACGCACGCGGCGCTTCATCGTAGCCGCTTGCTGTCTCGGAGGACGATCGGACGACTACCAAATGCACGCTTTTCCTTGTCTGTTGTGTTGCGGTTGTTGCTCGCGATCTTGTCCACTGTCGTGTAGATCCCGCAGTCACATGCGAACCTTCTGTTGAACCGCGGTACCTGCCGAACGGCAAGACAACTGATGTTCTCTTTTCAAAAATTAAGAGAGTTGTTACCGTCCGGAACATACCCACCATGTCACGATGTACAGCAGTACCTCTGCAACGTTACCGTAACCACCGCAGATCTAGAGAGCGGCGCGAGCAAAATGTTTAGTCTCCTAACGCGTTTTCTGATTGTTTTCGCTAACCAGGAATCTGCAATAGCCACGCCTTCCGTGGGGCTGTTTCTGTCATCTCTCGTTCCCCGTTGTCGACGTGTGTACGCAACCAAGGATGAATCCGTGTGATGGATTTTCAAATATTTTTCGAAGCAAACAGGGAACATGAAGCAGGAGGCTCTCTCGATAGGACAACACGACAAATACCGAGCTGCCGCACCGGTCCAGAACACCTGTACCTGCCGATGTCATCTCTAGACTATGTAACCTGCCGTTTCAACTGGAAGAACGGGCGTTGATTGGTGTGTCCCATTGGCGGATCAAATCGCACAGCACTCAACTGGTGTTCCGCGCGCACAGCGAAACCCACTCGGCTACGGCCACCAATCGCAATGCAGTCCACGTTACTTCAGGTCGATCCCTCCGTAGCAACCGAGCTGACGCACACATATTGCCAAGAATTACACAGCAGCTGTGTCCTGCGAGTAGTTAGTAGGCAACTGCTCGGTGCAGGTGGGGCTTTTTCCCGTTCACTGCCACCGAATACGTTTCTGATATCCGCTTTGCTCCTGTATGTGGAACCACCGCAGTTTCGAGCGAGTAGTTTCTAACGAGACCACCCCCCGCTGCCCCAACACGCCTACTTTCAGACTGGAAAACGAGACAAAGCGGCGTTAAGTTGCATCTCGAGCAGTGGGTGTACATTTACAGTCTATTTTCTTCGTCCTGGGGGTGAGAGAGAAGACAAGCAAGATGTTCGTGGTCAAGAGAGACGGAAGGAAGGAGGACGTCAAGTTCGACAAGATCACCTCGCGCATCAACAAGCTTTGCTATGGCCTCGACAGCCGCTTCGTGGACTCCATCAAGATCTCGCAGAAGGTGGGCTGGGTTGGGTCGCGAAGGATCCTTGAAAGGTGTGGCGCTACTTGTGTAACTCCCCACAATGTTGCTGTCGTGATGGTGTTTGTCACGGCGTATTCACGCGGAGCCTCGTTCACAGCCTCGAGATTTGACGTCCCGCAGAAATACTGAGAGCTCTTTGTGGAAACCACGTGTTGCTAGGTGTTGAAGTCCACGCTTTCAGTCTTGTTGGGAAGGGGAACTTTGGGACACACTCTTGCACCAACTCCCGCCACAGTCTCATTTGTGGCGGGTGCGCTCCACACGGGCAGACGTTGCTGGGTCCGGTCTAGCACTAAATGTCTCCCTTCAGCACCCTTTCCTTCATTTTGTCGCGTCTCCTGTCGAAGTTCCAATCAATGTGTTTGCGATGTACCTTTCGGTGGTTTTCCCTCTTTTTTTGGTGTCGCGGGAGAGGCATGATGGCAGAGCAGCAGGCAAAGGCGTTCCTGTTTCGTAGGCATGCCAGTCAAGTCTTGATGACGAGCTGCTACCGTCCTCGACGTCCCGCTTCCCTTGCTCTGTCCTTCGTGAATGGGACAGGTGATCCAAGGCGTCTACCCCGGCGTGACGACGATCGAGCTCGATGAGCTGGCGGCGCAGACCTCCGCCTACATGGCGACGCAGCACCCGGACTTCTCCAAGCTCGCCGCGCGCATCTCTGTCTCCAACCTGCACAAGCAGACGGAGAAGGTACGCGCTGCTTCTGTTGTGGCTGTTGTGCTTTTCCCGTTTTTTCTGCACCCGTGTCATGGTGATGGATCAATGTCTAAAAGGTTGGACGGTTCGGAGAATTCAGTCATGGGTATTTTTTTTCGAACCAAACGCGCTGCAGCAACGAGGACTGCGTGCTGTCATCTGAACTTGTTCGTTTTGCCTCCGTCGCTTGGGGCGTTTTTTCGATTTTGTAGGAGCAAGAAAGGCAGAAAGGCACCGCCACCGCACGCGTAGAGAACTCAAACGCTTCCCTTTACGTGTTCCATCGCTGGTGCTGCTGCTGCGGTGACCGCCAACATGCCACCCCCAAGGAACCACCCTGCATTCGCAACCGCATGCAGCCCCTCCCTCACGCTTCCCACACTTGTTTTGTGTGCGTGCAGGTATTCACCAAAGTGATTGACAAGCTCTACGCCTACGTGCACCCCAAGACGGGCAAGAAGGCAGGCCTCATCGCCGACGACGTGTACGAGATCATCCAGAAGAACAAGCAGCGCCTCAACTCTGCCCTCATCATGGACCGGGACTTCGACTACGACTACTTCGGCTTCAAGACCCTCGAGAAGTGAGTCGTATTGTGTGAACCGTGGCGCAGCTGTTTGGATGTCGGTGTCGCAATTCGTGTTTTTCTCCCCCTTGTGTGTGGGCGGTCGTCGAACTGACGGTCAATTTATGGTGTTGGTCGATGGCCATCTCATGAGCCTGATAGTTTTGTTCGTCCACTTGTTCCGACTATGGGAACTAGACTAATGACAGAAAAAAATAAATTGAGAACCATGGGGCACATGCCCCCCCCCCCCCCCCCCCCGC